CTGGGTGTTGCGTGTTAATTTGATTTACTCCGGGATTCCGGCTTCCAAGACGCCATTTTCCCCCTTTCTCGCTCTATCTCTCTCTATTTATCTATCTATCATTTATCTGCCGAGCTATCTGTCCGTCTGTCTGTCCGTCCATCTCTCTCTCCCCGGGTGCCTTCCCTCCTCCCCCCGCCCTCCTCCCTCTTCGCTCTGCGTGTGCTGCGCGGCCGTGCGCTCCCCTAATCTGACAGATGAACACCGCCATGGGTTTGCCGCAACACAAGCAAAAGCACCTTTGGGGGCTGTGGCGAGGGATTGAAACCGGGATCTAAAAGAGAAGAGAGAAGAAGGGGGGAATCCGAGGGAGGAGGAGGAAGAGGAAGAAAGAAGAAGAAGAGGACGCTGTTAAGAAGCCCCCACTGCCGTTTTGGGGATATGGGTTAGTAAAAAAAAAAAAAAAAAAAAAATCCAACAAAAAAACTGAGCTATCGAGGAAAGGTCTGTCTTGGTGATACGGTTTGCAGGAGGGTCTTACCCTCCTCTCTTCTCCCCCCTCCCCACCTTTTTCCCTTCTGCATGCAAAAGTTAATGTCGTCTCCTTTTTTTCGTGTTGTGACTTTGCAATGGCGCGGAAGGGGCTTTATTTATTTGGGGGGGCGGAAGGGAGGGGGGTAATTTCTCCTCTGTGCAGTGCATGCGGTCCTTCTCCCCGAGACTCCTTCCCTCCCCATGCTTTGTGGCTGGTGGGGGGTGTGTGTATGCATGTGCGTCTTTGGGGGTGGGGGGCTGGGGGGGGGTACAGCCGCGCTGCTGGGAAGGGGTTGCAAATTTGGTTTGTTTTTTTTTCTTTTCTTTCTTTTTTCTTTTCTTTTCTTTTCTTTTTTTCCTTTTTTTTTTTTTTTTTTTTCGCAAGGAGTTTGAATAATGTATTTATCCCTCTTTGCCCCCCACCCCTCTTTGCTTCCCTGTATGAGCTCCCCCGATGATACCGGGGGTAGGTGACTGCTCTGCGTGTGCATGTGGAAAGCAGGGCGAGCAGCCACCCGCTCCCCCCCACTCCCCCCCAACCCGGTTCGTAAATTGCAGGTTAAGTGGAGCTAGAGAGCAACACTGTAACCTTCTGGGGATCTGAGTGTGTGTGTGTGTGTGTGTGTGAGCGAGTGTGAGCGGGTGTGAGTGTGCGTGCGGGGCCGGTGCTCGGCGCTGGGCGAGGGGAGGTGGGGGGGCTCCGGTGCCCCCGGGCGTCCGCGGCCCCGCGCTGCTTTTGACATTGAAAAGGACACGCGGCACTTTGCGGGAGCATGAGAGTGCTGGGGGCTGCAGGGGGGATTAGGAATGCGGGAACCCTCCCCTACTCGGCTGAGGAGTGAAGCGCGGTATTAATCGGTGTTAATAACGAGACCGTGATTGCGGGAGAGTGGCCCCTCTCCTCGCCGTGGGTGGAAGCGGAGAGTTGAGCTTTGGGCTGTTCGTGAACGTCCCCGGGGTGTTGGCGGGGTGCGCGTGTGTGTGTATGCGTGTGTGTGTGTGTGTGTATGAGCCGAGGGGGCTGGGGGGGCAAAACGCAGCCTGCAGCTGAGGGCGGCTATTGTCAGCCCCAGCCCTGGCGCAAGGCTAGCTGCTCACCCTCGGGCACACACACACACTTGCACAGACACACACACATGCACACACACATACACGCAGCCCTTCCTTGCCGGTAGGCAGGGAGATATCAGGACCTCCCAGTGGGGCGGAGGACACCTCCCGCCTCGCTCGCCAGTGGACGCGCGCGCGTGTGTGTGTGTGAGTGAGTGTGCATCACGCCGGGCACCGGCCATCCCCGCCGTGCTCCGCACCGCGCCGCCTACCCCTGCCTGCGTGTATTTATGTGTCCAAAAAAGCCAGTTGAGAGAAGGATTTCCGATTCGTTTCCGCTTCAAATAAACGGCACTGATAATCTCGGGCCCGACGCCTGATGCTAATAGGGCACTTCGCAGGCGGGAAGAGGCCGCCGTCCCCACCTCCGGGGTCCGGGTCCCTGCGGGAGAGAAGCAGAGAGAGAAGTGGGGTTGCACCGGGCGTACCCCGGGCAAAGAAACGGGTAGAGCTGTTCCGGCAGCAGCCGGACCACTGTGGCCCTCGTGGGGTCGGGGGAGCAGCCCTGCTGCCTTATATGTCCATCTGTCAGCCACCAAAGGGGGTGCGAGGCGAGCGGATAGCTGAGCCCGCTAGTCCTCTGCTGTCAGGGAGAGTAATGTGATCCCGTCGGTGTTGACAGGAGGGTTTCAGGGGTGTAGAAGCGCTGGTAAATCCACCCCCATGTTGCATATTGTGGAGCCAGGCAGTAGCACTTATTGACTCGGCAGCCCCTGCAGCCAGGGATAACTTGGTGCAGGCTGCAGGATTGATATAATCGTCCACCTGATGTTAGGAAGCGGTATCACAAACCTGCAGAATCAAGTGTCTAGGACTTCTTATCACAGGCAGGGAAAATGCCTCTCGAAGCAAACGTGCAAGTGGCTGCTCTACAGACACCTCTCTCTTCCTCAGTCCCGGCAGATTGCTTCCCTCCATCATCTGACACTTCTGCTAAAGGGACAGACTTCTTATCATTATTGTTATTTTGTCAATTTGCTCTTTAGCCAAAACGAGAAAAATCCTCCCATGTAAATGAACTTTAGTCTCTCTTAGCTTGGAAGCGTTATGTAAAAACAGGGAAGGAAAAAAAAAAAAAAAAAAAAAAAACTTCTCAGACTCAAAGTTTTAATTGAAACCAGAAATCTATTGAGGAGTAACTGAGCCAAGAAAACCTCTGTTTTCTCTTCAACTAGGGATGGGGAGTAAATAATTTTTTGCTGATGTTATTTCAAGTTGTTTGAGCTCTTTGGTTCCTGCCAAAAACCCAGCATAGATTATTAACACATTATCATTTAGGAGGATGCACTCTCTGAAATGTAATAAAATGGTGTTCTAGGTTTGTGCAGAGACATAAACTATGTTAGTTGTTGGCAAACAAAAGAAACAGTGGCCATGATTTATTATTAATAATAATCATAACTGAGCTATTTAGCTTGACTTGATATTTGCTGAGTTCTCTACTGAGGTTTCTCAGTATCTTTTCCAATAATGTGCTTTGATTAAGTTGGGAACTGCTCTTCTTTAATAGCTTCTATGGCCACATGCTTAATTAACCCAAGAAGTTAAATGTTCAAAAAGGTCCAACCATCTTTTTTTTTTTTTTTTTTTTTTTTTTTTTAACCCTCTCAGTAGGGCTCAATTGCTCACACATAATCTTTCCCTTCTGTTTTCTTTTGCCTTTGGACAACACCCTCCAGGACTGAAAAACTCTTGCCTTGTGCTTGGAGGTTTGCAATTACACAGCAATTTTGACTCTTGACCCAACTAGTAGCGAGAAAGGCTACTGTTTAATGAACCACGTAAAAACAGTTCTGGAATCCAACAGATTGCTGTGATGGAAATGAAAACTATCCCAGTGAATTGATGACTGATTTCTTTAACTGTCTGCCCAGGCATCTTTCTTGCTCCCCCTTAACTACCCTTCTCTGTAGTATTTGTGTTCTGTGGGTCTGTAATGATGTTGAAAAGCAGCATTAAGAGCTGCCAAAAAGTATCCATGATGCACAGCCTGCAGTAGGGACAATTCAGTTGGGTTTAAACTGTGTTCAGAAAATTCAGCACATCATTTTTGCTGTCCACAACACGTGGGCATGCTGGGTTCTGAGCATGCATGCGCTGCTGTTAAGCTTGCATTTGACAATGGAAGAAGGACAGAAAGGTTATGCACAGAAAAAGATACAGGTTATCCCCTTGTTATCTTTCTTTTTCCAATGTTAAAAAAAAAAAATAATAAAAATAAAAATAAAAATAAAAAATCCTTTCCTTACTATTTGTGATGACATAAAGTGATTCATCCTTTTAGGAAATTGTCATCTTGATAAAGATGTGCTTTAAGACCCTTCAGCTCCAGGTTTTAGCCTGAGAGTCCTGTCAGACCTGAAAATTATTTCCAAACTTTCAAGGCTGGGACTACTTTGCCTTGTGATACATACATTAAATCAGGTTATAAGTGCTTGTTGTTAGCACAGTTGCTTCTGAGATGCACTCAAACCCTTAGAGATGTCTTTTTCCTTCTCCCAATGTGATAACTACATTTGATGTAGCTTCAGAAGCTCATTGCATCTTCACACCTGCAGCTTATCAACAGGCTCTGGATTCTGTGCTCATGTTTAACCAATGGAGAACAAGGTGAGGGACATACAAGAGAAACCAAAAAATCTGGAAGGCAAAATAATTCCTTACATTGAGTAAAGGCTATCAGATAACACAGCTTGTCCTTCATAGCTGGGGAAATGAGTGAAAGAAGTAGTGGTGGTGACTTCTATTTGTCAGCTTTTGAGAATGAGCAGTTAGGGGCTATGTTTCCCTTTCAGAGTTGGATTTGCTTTGCGGCACAGGTTATCCAAACACAGTAATTATCTTTTAATGTAAGCTGTGGAGCAGTTGGACATGAAAAGCAACCTTCTGACATTATTTCTTTTAGACTTCTGATGTCTTTTATAAAACAGAATATTTCAAAGAGTCAGTTAGCCACTTCTCTCTCCAAAAGGCCAGGTCAAAACCCTGGACCTCAAACACCCCGAAGATTGGGAGTATATAATCCTGGTATGATTTTGACCTTTATGTCTCTAGTCCAGCTAGGGAACCTTGCAAGGTCCCAGAATCTGTATCTCTATGATATTTGCCTGGCTGCTTGTTCTCTAAATCTGCTTGCTCTTGTCAGTGTGTGATGATGACTCTGTTGACATGAGACATGGAGGGAAAAGTGATGGGGCTGAAGCGAAGGCAGAAAAATAGAAAGGCAGTGAAGAAGTATCAGCCACTGATGTTGCTCACAGACCAGACAGTGTTGTTTAAGAGTGGTGACTGCACTGGTTCTTGCGTAGGCATGCATTCAACATAGGAGACTTGAAGGGAAAAAGGCTTGTACAAATATTAAGGATGAGCCTGAGCTGTCTTACCATGCAGAGCTCCCATGTACTATTCTGAAAACAAGCTCAGTGTGTGGAAAGCCATGCATATCTTTGTTGGTGGTGGGGAGGCTATGACTTGCCCCAGTGAACACTGAAGCCTATGAGAGATAGGGATGCAAATGCCTGGTAGAATGCAGTGCTCAGCCTGAAATTAAACATTTGTGGTTGGGAAGACCCTTACTCAGCCTCTCCTTCTCCCCAAAGCAGTGAAGTGCTGCTCCCATGAGAGATGCTGCACAGTCCTGTGTGCTTGAGAACCAGAATGTGTCAGGGATGAGAGCAAAGTTTCTTCCAGTACATTATCTGCTGTAATCGTGCTTGGGAAAACTGTTCAGAAGAATGTGTGGTAGGCAGACATGGGGTAACCCAGGACTCACTTAAATACCTCAAAATTAGAGATGGGTTA